ACGCTCCTACTCGTTCTTGTTCTAACTTCCCTGAACTTCTTTGGGTTAATCGCAATGGCGTGTAATCTGGAAGCGCATATCCTATAGAGTTACGGAATTCTGCGGAGTTAATCAAAGCTCTGCTCTGCTTTTCGGTGCAGCTTCTGATAGCTCCTATAACTTGACGTTTACTCACCGGCAAAGGAAATGTATAGATCATCCGTTGCATCCCAAAATTCCGTAATCAGAAAGAAAGTACACTCGCACGGATGAACGTGTATTCAGTACCTACATGCGGTAAACGCAAGTACGGGCAAGCAAGTGAAAACGCAAACACCTAGTCAAGTGCGTGCGTCAGTGTCGTACCTCCCTGAAAGCCAGGTGTACAATCGGATTAGGCCAGGCAAGTTCGGTCAACCCGCGGTACAGTCCGTTTGGTCAGTGCCGTTCGGGACGAAGCAGGACTGATTTCAAATATTTTTGCGTGTCTATGACTGGAGGGTGTGACCATGTTTGGGAGGGATGTGGATCGAGTGTGTGCGGTGTGTGTCTGTGTGTCTGTGTGCGTGCGAGACTGTCTGTCTGAGCACGACTGTTCATCCGAACACAGCGTCTGATTCACTTGCTAACTGCTTAGCGGTAGCTACTGAGCCCTCCACGTTCAGCAAATGGGCACAGTCGACTAGAGGTTGTTTCCATAGGTTAAAAAGTAACCGCAGTTAGGACTTTGGTGCGATAGTGTCTGTGGTCATCGGAGTTGTCGCACTAAGCAATTCGAGAGAGAGAGAGGCAAAAAACAGGGCGCGTAATGGGAGCTCAGTAGGGGTAACATAACCTCAGAGGAACATTTTAGTTTGTTTTAGTTGGTGGATCGGTTTTTGAGATCCTGAAGCGCAAAACGAGTATTGTCTATGGACTAAAGTGCATCGACGAGGGAGTAGCGGCATCCGCGTTGGACTTCTTTCGTCCAGCACTAAATCCAGCGTGATTAAGCAGCGCAAGGTATCACCGTATACTGAGAACAAACAAATGCAAAATAAGATTCATTCAGCTTTGGAAAATTTCCTTAGGGTATTAAGTAAAATTTTTAATGTGAATCGTCTTTATTATCTGGTAGTATAAAGCCAGAAAGTATGGAAGACTGCACATTTCAGAACATGGAAACAACGCATAACAGATAAACCTCACAAAACGCAATTTCTTCTGTATTTTAGTATTTACTGGCGATCGTTTAGTGACGGCTCACGGTTGCATACCGAATGAAACCTAGGAAAGAGTAACCAAACCTTGCCGACACACCCGTGCCGTGCAAGGTTACGTCACATGTAAGCGTTCGATCCCAGTTACGACGCTTGGTAGCTTTGTGCGAGTCAAGTGAGCAGCTGCGTGCTTGATGCAGAATCGATTTTCATCACTTTTTATGTCACTAGCAGAATGAGTGATCCAGCATCCGCGGAATTCCTAGAGAATGAAAGTGAAATAATCAAACTCGGAAAATAATCGAATGCAGAATCGTATCGTAATCAGGAAACACTCAGTAATGATACATAAAAACTAACCAGAGTGTAAGGGAGGGTGGCGATTCAAAGTATCTTTCCTATGGTCTTGAAATTAAAATCAAAATTTGCAGAGCTATAGTCAAATGGGATAGAGTCTGGCCTTAAAAGAGCATTCGCAAAACGTAAATTTTCCGGGGTAATCCGTAAGGGACTTGTGCTTAATCACTTTGAGTACAGTATGGAAAAAGATGAAACTGATGTTTTCGAAGCAGTCGATCAGTTTACCTTCGAGTGATGTCCGTCCACTATCAGCACGACGTCCACTGAAAGCAAGCTCCAAAGCAGCTGAAACAAATCCCGATAAAATAATTCCTAACCTGAAAGAACCTGCATTCAGTGGGCCCATACACGGACACGATGAGCAAGCTCAGACGTTTCAGTCAGTTGAAACTGGTACATGCAAAACCATACGGCAAAAATTCACACAATCCACTGTTGAACAAGCATCAGTCTAGTACTGCACGCTCAGATCTCGAGCTCAAAGAGATCCTGACCTCAGCCTGACCAGGAGCACTAGATCCGAATCATCAGACAGTAGGAAGGTGAATCTTGAGACTGAGTTTGTGTCCAGTGTGAGCAATGCAATCGCAGGAGTGTAATCTTGTGTTCTCGCTTTGGTGACAATGCATAGATCCATTTTGAAAGTTTCAACATTTCCATCCAGAACAGAATTTTACCCTATCTGACAGGGGGGTAGAATGTTGTAGGCCACCAAATGAAGTGAACGCGTAAACCTGAGAACTGTGTTTATCTATGCCTTAGTCTTGAACGATTGTTTCAAAGGAGCCGCAATCAACGGTTGTGTTCTCCGTCGATCTAAGTCAAGACAAAGAGGATTAGTAGTGTCCTTTACACAGTGAATTATTTGTACATTCATGTGAAAATAGAGTCGCATAAAGGATTTTCTTCGGAGACCCTTACCGGAGCCCTTGACTTAGCGATCTCACAAACAAAGATGGAAGGCGCTAACCCAACATGGGAACTTGACCGAAACACGAGTAAAGCCCGGTGGCAGGGTGTTCGACTCGCAATCCTCCATCTTGGTATCAAATCTCAGTTAGGTCTCCGCAGTTGTGAAGTGTTGACGATCGTCAGCAAGGTCGAAACAGCAGTGCAGTGCTTTCTTGGTTTTCTAAGTTGAGTTGAGTGTTCTCAATGCACGATGAATCATTTCATACAACGAATAATTATGCCACCGTTTAAAACGATCCAGTCACCAGACTCCTACTTTTTACGTGACTTGATGACTTCGTTTAACATGGGCTGTCAACGGAAATGACATTCTTCATCGAAGTAAACGGCTCTGCGGTCAAGTTGTAACCGTTCAACGTCAGTGACGAAAGGATGCTCTATGTTGTAGGTCGTATATTGAAAGACAACACGTATATTACCGGCTCTTAACTGTTCGGCTTGCAGTCTTTCATCTCGCCATCTAATCTCAGTTGGGACTGGTTCAAAGTGAGCTGCTGCTGATTCCTAACGAAAGGAAAACAGCTGTTTAGTATTTCCAGTGTTTTCATGAGTGATACATTCGAAATGTTAAGAACGCCAAATTACTGAGCGCTCTGAGGCACCCAGAGTCGTCAAATTTTCGGATATCCAGTGCTTTCAAATATACCTGAGAGGTTGAAATTCTCAACTTACTTTCAACGTCCGTCAGTGAGGAAAATGAGTTGCAAACAGCAAAGTGAATAAAAAAAAGTCGAACATGCTTGCACGCAACTCTCCCGTAATGGTTACTGGGACAGTTGGAAGGCAGTGAGGCCAATTATTCGACTCAACCAGTGGTCCAGTATGATTACCGATTCAGTGTTAGAAACTAGTAAAGGACGAAAACAGCAAATGACACTGATTCCTTTGGAGTCTATGAGAAACTAACCAAGAATAAATGTGATACGGCCAGGGTTTCCGATGAGTTGCTACGAAGGTCGTATGCTAAATCTGATTGCTTTTCATCAGAGGGACAGACGAAGACATTCCTCTCGGATAACATCATCTGCAGTCAAAACCTGGTTGGTGCTTTTGTTATCCGTAGGATAAATAACGATTCAAATCGCTGGATCGGATGCGCTAACATGGGCATTATGTACAAGATGTTTACCGATGACTGGAACTACCTTGAGTTTTGTATTTCTATTTTGACTACTGGTGACGTTAGCAGTAGCTCGTTTTTCGGTATTTCCTGTGTCAGCTGAAAAAGGTCGTCAGATTGTATGTACGAAATTAGGATTAACGAAATTGGTATTCACTAATAATCGATTCAAAAATGCGAGTTTCAACCAGAATGGGTTTCAGAAAGCAGACTCATTTCCACGGCCCTGTTAGTAGTATTTCCATGAATGTGCGCTCACTTATCGTGATAAAGTTGGATCACCCAAGTCCGCCCCGAATTAGCACTTCTGATCATAGTTCTGTACATCCGTAGCCCAAAGTTTATTGTAAAAGCAATTTTTTTAACAAACTCCCCGCACGTATTGCTAACTGTTTCCACTGATGCTTGCACCCTTGAGAGTCTAGATAAACTGAGGACTTTTGTTGGTTCACCTGCGTGATCGATTGTGAATCTGTCCGGAGGAAGGTTACTCGCAGTAAAGGGAATCCTGCATGAGCATATACATTTAAGACAAGGTTGCGTTATTCGTTACCTAAAATTTATGTGACTGCACAACATCTTCAAGTCCTGTGACTGTTAGAGCTGTAAAACAAATATCCACATATAGTCATAATTTTCTTCAGTTGTAACTGAATGAACCATGAAGTACACTGAAAACGCTTACTAATCATGCCACAAATCACAGGTTGAAGACAGTGGAACACTTGTTTCATATCGGGCTACTTAACCAGTAAAATGACTGGAAAATGTATCACGTAGATATTTTTTGTGCCGTTTGTTATTAGATTGAGAGAGTTAAGATAAATAATAAGGTTGTTTTAGTCCAGAAAAGGATCAGTTGATCGTTCTCTGACCATCACCGACACGAGGCACCCTTGGACTCCCCGGGAAAAAGGCAGTCACCTTAGTGGTATACCAAGCCGTCCCAACGGCTAACCTCAGAAAAAACGCCGTTTCAGTTATCGACGCTAATGATGGACGCTGTCTATCAATCTGACTAGTTCATCCAGTCATTCTGACTCAGCGAGCCGCAGACACACCTGGGCATGCTAGCCTAAGCCGTGTGCATGATTCAACCGCGTTTACAAATTCGAAGTTTGCGTCCATATGTGATGGTGATCCATTCATACAGTCTAAATGCGCATTCACAGCTGTGTGTCAGTATGCGCTCACCTCCATTAGCGGAGCAGCCATGTCATTTTTCCTCAATTCAATATTTCAATAAGCGATAATCCGATACGTCAGACCCACTGAATCAGTTGTAATTATGCGCCTTTTCTTCTTCCAGTTTCCGATACAAATCGATGAAATATAAACACCAAAAATCACCCTTTGGATGGAGTAGTCAGTCAAGACAAAGTCTGTGGATGTCGGAAGAAACACGAAGGCTGTGTAGCAGTGCCTTTATCCTTAATCACACAAAGTCCTATGTGAAAAACAGAAAAATCTGTCTACTCTGGTAGCTATTTTAAAATGTATTCGTAGATACGTAAATGCATGTATACACACAGTTCATCAACCTAATGGAATCTCAAATAAATGCTTTCTGGCCGTGAGAGGCAGAGGCATGGATATTGGCTTGAATAAAGCCTATGCACAGTCAAGGAATCACATAAATTGTGGTTTGGGCTGAAATCAGACAGCAAACAGTAAGTAGGTGTAAACTGTGCGTGACTGTTGCAAATTGGTATTTATTTTACTGAATTTTAGACTCTTCATCGTCAATAATTTGATCATCTGACTCAAGTAGAACAGCCTCTCCATTCACATTTTCCTGAGGCATTAGTGTAAAACTGGGTTTGGCACCATATCGTTCCATTTGTGAATTTTCTATTGCAGCTGGTGATTTTTTGCTAGGCTTTGGCCGTCCAGGGCAAAGGAAGGAAGAGCTTTTGGAAGTGCCAATCCCCGACCCACTTGAGGAACCGAACCGGGATGGAAGTGTCTGAGATCTGGATATTAAACCGAATTTTAAACTGGCAGAGCCAAATCGCTTCAACTCTGTGCTTCTTGAAGTTGAAGCACTCGTCGGTCGAGTCCCAGGCACAATCACTTGAGTCATGCTGCTTTGAATGATTCCGGGTTTCGGTTCCTTTGAATGTGGACTTTGTTTGAGTTTGAGCCATCGTAACACTAATTTTGATGCAAATGACTTTAATCCCCATACTCCTGTTGAATGAGTCACGGATGCTGACGATTCCATCGGTGATCCGTCCAGCGCTGTGTCTGTTACCCGCTCTCTTTGTTCTGTTGAATCAAGTAGTTCCGGCGGGCCATCGTATTCTTCCAATGGTCTTGATAGTGTAATAATCATGGTAGATTTTGGACGAGGTGAGTGTGTTCCACGCGGCTGACACCATAACACTAGTCGATCAATCCAGCGCTGCATCACCTCCTTATTGGGAGCCTGGAGAATGAAAAGGATGAATGATTTTCAGTCGTAATGGATCGAAATTTGGTAATTCGTTTATGGATTTCTTATTTGATTGCAAACTACCATATAATTGTTCACATTATCAGCAATTTTTAGAGGTTATATAAACCAATCGATCACAACATATGCCTCTGATTATATTGATCTTTTTGGCCTCAGCTATTTGTATCGACCGATTATTACAACCGCTTCTGTTTACGAACAGAAGATTCCAGTAAAAACCGTTCGATAAATCCAAATATTCTCTGAGCAATTCGAGGTTTGGAAACCTGCCACTGTGATGTCTGTCTGTAAGCACTTTATTGTAAAAACCATGGAGACCATGAGTGAGTAGATCGCTTGCTATTGATGAGATGTCTATCCACGTGATACGTCTTCACTGGACAGAACCGGGATCACGTGATTTCGTGACTTGGTTAGGATGTGAGCTTTTTGTGTGCTTGTTGGTCTGCATTACTTAAATCGATCCTTTTATCGGATTGCCAGCGCAACGATCGTATAGGCCGCGTGCAATCCAATAACAAGACCGAGAATTCAACTAATGAGCACATAAGATGTGACCCAAGAAATGATTTCAAAAGTTATTAAACTTACTTGAAATAAGTACGATGCTCCAGTATTCGAATTCAAAATTCGAAAAACATGAGGACGTTTCGTGTAGTCCGTAGCGACTGAAACGGTCAATAGATTTCTGCCTAAATCTAAGCCGAGTTCGTTGTGGAATGTATGAGCCAACGGGCTTTAATCAGCACACGAATGTGAAAAGGGGTAGATAATATTGCAGACTTTAGACATCGACAAATTGGATATCATAATAAATAAAGCAACAGTTGTACAAATCAAAAATTTCATCCTTTTTCCCTGTATAATGGGCTTTTTATTCTGTAAAGAGCAATATTTTGTCATGTCACGTGATGGAACGTGAACGGTAAATAATCAGCCAGATTAACCTTGAGCTATTTTGCGTGATGCTCGTGGTGTGCTTCAGTTTGGATAGACAGCCACGGTGGCACACCAGCATGCCACAGTGCTCGACCTGCAATCGTAAAGCTCACACAAAATGTGTCTTTATTACCACGGCTCAGTGATTCGTGTAGGTGAAGCACGGAGATAGTGTTGATGAAGGTGACTTCGAATATGAGATGTGAATATAAGTTAGGACATGGTGCACATGCACCGCAGTTGGTGATCCTGAAAAAGTGAAATGAAATAGCTGTACTCTCATTGTTTCTATTTTTTCATTTTTCGGATGGGCTTTTAGACCCTTTTCCGTAGCCGCCCAGTAGCTCTACTGAATTCGAAAAGTCTTGGTTTATTGGTGCAAAACATCATTTTACACACACGATATATAGCTATTGTAAACAAAACCATGCATGAAAGTCCACTGATAATCCTAAACGGCACGTCTGTCTAATGGAACTGTGATAGTTGATTCAGCTCTGGCCAGTGCAGAGCTAAGACAGCTGCTAATTGGTTGATTGCTCCACTTGGTTGGCCTCACTCGTCTGCGGCTTTGGACAGCCGATCATGTGCTGTCTACTTCGCAGCCCCCGACACAGCCCTGGAATCTGGACTGGCAAAAGCGTGCTGCCTGCCACTGAACCAGGCCGTCTATTGGCTGTGTGTCAGCCCATACCCACATGGACACGGTGGTGAATTATTTTATGACCTATAACGTGTACTACGGAAGCCCTAACAAGAATTACTGTCTATAGTTTCCAGCTGAGACGCCTCTCCTGGGAATGGAACTTAGTTGTCAACCGAAACAAGATATGTTGGTGCACTGGACACTGAGTCATCATCGAAGTGATAATAGATAAAAGCTTTAGTATCCAAACTCACGCACATGGATGAAATCAGATCATGTGATTCGATAATGAGACAGCAAACTGGCGATCTGAACAATTTTGCTATCACATTTGATCACCTTGAAATCATCCACTTGATAATTATCAAATGATTTGTCATGCACTAGCAAAACTCAGCTCACCCAAGCGAACCATGGAAGCACAACTGCACATCTGTTCTATCTATCTTGTTAGGAATCTTCAGAGGTGCATATCCACCGAGCCCCACTGGGACTCCAACCCCAAGGGTAAACAACTACGAGTCGAACACCCAACCACCAGGATATCTGAGCCGGATCTCAATTTGCCATCACAACTACATTGCGTGCAGTTCTTTAATCACTGACATTTAAACGGTAACAAACCGCTGCTTTTAGAGCAATCGACTCTCTTGATGGAGGAGTTCTCTGTGGGAATCCTGAGTTACTACAAATCAATACACTACAACCTACAGAGCATGATTGCTCAATCCTTATGAGTAGAGGGAGAACAGAACTCATTGAATTATTTGTCATGCAGTAACAACGCACAGCTCACCGATGGGGCTTGTGGATGAACACCGCTGATGTTTTCGAACAAAGTAAATGAAATTATTGTAGAGATGTACTTCCAAGGCTTTCAATGGGAATCACTTGATAATCCATCCAAACATCCCACAACTCCAAATAACCGGCTTGGCTATTGCTTGACTAGGAGCTTCTCAATTTCCCTTTTGCGGACGACCAGCAGTGTGTCTGAATGTTACAGCTCTTTGTTTGCTGGCTCACACGTGTCAGGTGCTAACGCGCTCATATCATCGATAAATTTTGGTCGCCAATAGTACTCTGTTATAACGTGATTCACTTCCTCCTACAGTACCGTGAGGCTTCGTACCGATTTAAACTCAGAATCTCGAAATCACAATAACCGATTATTCCTGATAGTTTGTTGAACTCACCTCAGATATGGGCATGAAAAAATGCAATGAGAAAATGAAAGAAAAAGCTGTATTTACTCTTGCTTATTATAATCCGACTTGGTCCGATAGAACAGCAGTTGTTGTGTATTGGCCTCGATAAGCACATACAGTTCGTACCACGTCCGATCACGTGCCCTCACCAAGTGTGTCGCAAACTCGTGCTTTCGCGACAACAGATCACCCATGTTTTCTGATCGAATAGAATGTAAATGAAAGCCATCAAAGCAATTGATTATTCGGCTGGTGAATCTTCAAATATATTGTGTGTTCAATAGATTCGTCGAAATCCAATGGTAGTTCATATCCGAAACGCTGTAGTCATCGACGGTAAGGCATTTTGAAATTTGCTTGCTGTATATAGTTTCAGCTTCAGGGCCCAATTAAGGTATATAACAGCATCAAAAATTATCTGAATTCATTGATATTTTCCTTTTATTTAACTTGATTTCTCACTGCGTTATGAACAATTGAAAGCATATGACCTCAGAATTACCAGGGTATGGAAATATATCTAGTTTGGTAAACAAGACCACGTGAATTCTCCTCGTTTACATTCAGGAAGATTTTCTATTGAATGTCTCGTTGGAAGCCATTATTTAGTCAATATGGCTTTTATATTTATGCTCACATAAGGCGAGAAGAAATTCTTTCGAAGTTGAGGGATTTCACGTTATATGTGGCTCATTTATTTTTCTGGACGATAACGGTCTAACTTACCAAAGAGGGTAATTCCAGTCTGCACCAAAGTGAACCTTGAAGCCCCGGTCATTCGGTTGTATTATTCGTTTATATTGCTTTCGCGATAATGAGAAAAAGAGCTGTTAAGATGAAGTTTTCCGGCATCTCAGTAAAGATAGCGAAAGTCAAGTTGCGAGCTAGGATTTTCTCACATGGACTTGAAGTAAGTGAGAGCACAATTTATCGGATATTTCATAAAAGACATCCACGAGAACACATTGCGGGGGGGACAGAAGACCCATCACAGCAAAGAATGAAGTAGCAGTGCACACAAAATCAGTGTCACAAACTCCCACAATCCTGCGAAAGGATGTTCTCATGCATTCACACTCTCTGTTGAAGAGAAGGATACAGCAACTTGAAATGTGGCTAATACCGGCTGACGTTCGATAAGTGAAGGCACTTTTTGGTTTTGCGGGTTTGGAAATTTTTCGTAATGATGCGAATGTTAAAAGTCGTCGACCCCGGTGGGATTTAAACCCAAGCATGTTTGCCTGATTTGAACTACACTGTTCTCAGTCGGGGATACAAACAGCTAGGTGAAATTTGTTTGCTCATTCCTCAGCACATATCAACCCTTCTGTTCTACGGTGCAAACCCAAACATTCGAGTCACAGGTCCCTTGTTATCACCAATATATATATATATATATATATATATATATATATATATATATATATATATATATATATATATATATATATATTCAGAAAGACTGTCATTTCTTCATATAAAACAGTTGCGTCGTGAAAAAGGACGTTCATACAAAGCTGAAAATTACGCCCTAGTCCAGATTCTATCCAGGCCAATAGAGGTCGAGCTACACAAACTGAATGGCATGTGTGTCCGGACATTCCTGATATATCATAGTAGTCGCGATACTTGGAGAGTTCTCACACCGCTCATCGGTAAACCTAAAGAAACGTCCACTAGCGGTTGATGTTGAATAACTCAGTCGGAACTTCATCAGTGACAAGCACATGGCATCATCTTCGACTTTCGATGCTAAAAGCCGTTTTGTACCCAACAGTCATTTCTTTAATCTCCTCAAAGTATAAAAGTAATCGTCTCAGCTTCGGCCTAATAACCCGTGTGGCCCTGATAGACTGCCGCCCAAGCTGGGTGATATGCAGTTGTACGAATATGTTGAAATCCAACGACGGAAGGAAAATCACGGAAAAGTTTGAATTGAAATTGTGCACCTCCGTCTATGGTGATCCTAGGTAAACCGCCAAACACAGAAATCCAGTGGTGTGAAAACATTTTGGGAATTGTTTCATTGGAGACGCCTCCTATAGGGACAGCTATGAGCCAACGCGTAAAACGATCCACACACGTGAGGAGAAAATGGTATCTGTCGACCGATGGTAAGGCACCAACAAAATCTAAGTGGACACGAGAAAAAAGCGCATTGTTTATGGGTATTTGGACGGAAGAGGAAAGTACAAGCCGACGAAAAAATGCTCCGTTGTCATGGTATGTCTGCTCTACACCAAAAACGAAGTCTCTATTCACATTCTGCCAAAAATAATGATCAGAAACAAGTCTAACGAAGACGCGCATTCCAGAATGGGATATGGAATGTGGACGCCTAAACATCAAGCAATGAAGGGAACACGGAACAAACGGGCAGGCTTACCAGTGGAGACATCGCAAACATATGTACCATTTCTGTCAGGTAGGGGTAAATCATTCAACATCAGAAAGGACAATGAGTGGCAGCTATGTAGTTCTTGTTCATTCTTTTGAACCTATGCTATCACGGACGGACTGAATGCCACTGGGTCGGTTCCTCGAAGGATGCCTGGGCGAAAGAGTGCTTCAGCCACGAAGTTGCTGGATCACTGTATTTACCTTATATCCGTGATATATTTGGAGATGTAGTCAGGGTGTCTAGTTTCCATGGGCGAATAAAGGTCGCCGCTTGAAGCTGATGCATAAGTCAAAAGCTTATAATCAGTGTAGATAACGAAGCTTTTGCCTTCCAAAATGTGTCTAAAGCATTTTATTGTAAGGTCGATCGCAAGCAATTCACGGCCAAAGTTGCTGTAACGAGTCTTTGGTGGTTGCAGCTTTTGAGAGAAAAATGACAACGGATGTCTGACCCCATTAGCAATCTGTAGCGATTGGCCGCCAAAGGCTATTTGGGAGACATCTGTCCACTATACAAGAATAGCGCTGTCAACATTGTTTAATTATGCGGGCGAGGGTACTTTGGACAAAACTTGCTTATCCCCTTGGAATGCTGATTTAACTTCAGGAGTCATCGAAAACGTGCACAGCCCTTTCTTCAAAAGCTCAGTAGGTGGTTGCAAGATCACAGGACAATTTGGTATGAATCGACAATAGTAGTTGACAATGCGCTGGAAACGAAGAAGACTCATGAACGATTGGGGTTCCGGATAGTCCTAGATAACATTCATCCATACTAGCAACGAAGACGTTGTCACTATAAACAAAAGCAAAATCCAGACCACGGAGAACTTAACCCATAAGTAGCTGGAATGTTTGAGTGGAGTTGCGCAAGTTAAAATGCATACGCAAGAATTCGTACAACCCAAATGGTGTCGTGATAGCAGTCTTCGGAACGCCCTGAGACGCGTTGGGAATACCGTAATGCGGTCTTACCAAATCCAGTTTGGAGAAAATGCTTTTGCCACACGCACTGTCGAAGAAGTGGTGAATGTGTGAAATTGAGTAACGGTCGGGCACCGTTGCGTTTTTAAGAGCGCGGTGATCACTTCACGGGCACCAGTCACGGTTGTGCTCTGGAACCATATGGAGTGGGGAGGCCCAAAGATTGCTTGATAGGTGAATTAAACCCAAGCTTAGCATATGTTCGAATTCTGCTTCTGCTACAGACAGGCGCTCAAGTAATAACCGGCGAAGACACGCTGCGGCTGGTGGACCTTTGTTGACAATGTGATGTTGGACGCAGTGTGGTGCTTGTGAAGGTGATGTATTGTGGTTGGATGACTGCCGGAAAATCGTCCAAAATGGAGGAAAACGGAGGGCGTACTGTCATGGGACCTTCTCCGAGATGGATCGTGGGGACACCCGTTCCGTATGTTTTAACAGACGCTTTGCTGTTCAAAAGAACACAGTGGTTCATATCAACCACGAGTGAAAAGTTAGAAAGTAAATCAACTTCGAGAACAGAGTGATTAACGTCGGCAATCTTGAAAATCTCTGGGGACTGTCGGCGTAAACGAGGGTCAAGTGGCACTAGCTTTCGACCGTATATCTTTATTGCGGTAGCCATTGTGAACCGGTGACTGAATGGTCAGTTCATTCACCCTTCGGATGAGACAAAACATCTTGGGTGCCCAGTTCACCTCTCCGCCACGGATGCAGGTGAGTATACCGTTGTGCACCTCATGCGCCACCCGTGGTTGGTTTGGAATCAGAGTCTAACCATCTTCCCTAGGCCGACTCTCTTAGTCAACCGACCCGGTGGAAAGCGCTGGGCATTCGTTTTCGCCATCTCAATTTAGTAGGAATACCTCCACCACGAGAAGCCAGTGAGTAGGACTTCCTCAGCAGAGGCTGTGACAAACGCACGGCCATTTGGGAGCATTCTAAAAGGTGTTCAGGGCAAGTAGCTAATTTGGACCCTGCGACACTCACTCCCGACCATATATATATATATATATATATATATATATTATATATATATATATATATATAATCCAAAGGGCGAATGAACTGACCATTCAGTCGCCGGCTCACAAGGGCCTCGAGAACAAGCTAATGAACCATACAATGGGCCATTCGCTCATATGGACCAACCGTACTGTCTTGCAGGACGTGCTTGGTTGCGCAAAGGCTAAAGGTGTATCCTTGAATAAAAATGCCTATTCTGAACTGGGCGACCGAGTAGTACAATAGCTCAAAACGCAAATAACCATGAGAAGCTCTACCACTGTGATTAACTTCTCTCCCTTGTGCACGAAAAACTGTCGTACACCGTACTAAACTTGTTCTCCTATTTCCACCCCGTTCAACTTTCTGTTCCATTCCCACACCCCACGAGTTCCTCGGTTTACCGTGCCTGCAGTAGTGCTACTGATGGAAATTCTGGCTATATTCTCTCTTCTCCGTCTTCGACTAGCTTCCGAGTCTCACCGAACCCGCTACCACCGGCTGATGTTCTGCTTCGTCTTCAATGCTCATTCAAACTAGCCAAATTCACATGTAAACCCTGATGGGTATAAGACAACTGGTGAGTTTGGATGGTACGCTTGAATCCCATGCCATCAATGTGTGTTGCTTTTAAGAAACTCGCATTTGTAACTCCAGGTTCATCATTTGGCTGATGCCTCCATGCAATTCTTCCGTGAAGTTTCACTTAAGCCTTTATGGGGACCCTGAGGCTGCGGCTTCTGGTCTTGCTGACGTTGGCATTGTTCTCAGTGAAGGGGCTCAAGTGGAGCTGCTAGACTGGATCCCAGT